ATTATTATTATTATTATTATGAGAATGCTAGAAAAAAAAAACGTTTTAAAATTCTGGCATAGGCCTGTGATTTGAAACGAGAAAAAGGTGAAAGTTAGGAAAGCAATTAAGGATTAATTAAGGATTATAAAAACCAGCAAACTTAGAAAAAAGCTCTAAGCCTTTGGTTACTTTTTTTATTAACTGGATTGTGACTGAGCTAGACAGACTGTTGGGAAATAATTACCTTTAAAAAAAAAAAAAAAAGAAAAGCTTGAAACTTAGAAACGTCAGACAAACCTGTCTTCACTGTGGCGATATGTCCGACAGCCCCTGAACGCAACGCCGTTGACGAAGCACACGTGACCCGAAGTTTCTCGTTTCCGAGGTAACCCAGAAGCGTCAAGTCTTTACCTGCGGCCGGTAAATTTACGACAACTATTTGGTTCTTCTCGTAGACTTCTTTAAAATGGATTTAAATCCTTCTTCGTGTTGGAATTCAATTGTGGAGAAAGTCAAACCACATATACCGACTATCGACTTTGATTTTTCAACAGTAAGATGTGTTTTCTTTCTTCCGAAAATCTGTCAGTCTGCTAACTGACGAGAACACATTGAAAAGTTACACAACTTTATTTAAAATGTCTTATTAACGTTACAGTGCAAGACAGACGAGGTTGTCAGCATTTATCAGAGACCAGCTGGTTTTTCCCTGAAGGTCCCTGAAGACTTTGATAGTTTTTCAGTAGGTGATGCTGAACTAGAGGTTAGCCAATTATGCTTTCATAAATCTTACAAAGTTGCGATCCCCAAACAAACATAACAGGTAGTCATTGATATTTGTGTGTTTTCTCAATAAGGAGCTTCTGAAAGCACAGAACTCCTCTGAAGAGCTGTGCAGGCAGTTGGATGGTGATGCTGAAACTATAGAGAGCAGTGCAGGGCGCCCTGATGCTGATGCTGAGGTGGGTTACACTGATCTGCACTCTCTGTCAAGCACTGTAGAGCCGCTACACAGCAATTGTCCTTTCACTATTAAAGGCAGGAGATTGCCGGAGCAGTTTTGTGGTGTCGAATAACAAAGCTAAGACGGATGCGTCTTTAAAGCCATACATGGACAGCACAAAATCCAAAGAGGGTTTGCCTGTTCTCTCATTTGCGGTAAGTTTGGGAAAGAACTTATTATCTCCAGCAAGCTAAAGTTGGTCAAGATAAATATTCTCTGTGTGCTAAATATGTTATTTTTTTTGTTATGCATGACACTCACATTCAGAGGCTGGACCAGTGGGATTTGGATGCTGTCCTCCAAAATCTCAAAGCATCCAGGGTGTCTCTGCAAGAATGCATATCAGTGGAACCTGTGAGAGGATGTGCAGGTATTTGTTAGGCTGACAGGCTGATATTCTCTCCCAATATTGGCCAGTGACAGAAAAATCGGCATCTGATATGCACCAATTTGAAAAAAACAAACAAACATATTTTTTACAGAACATGATGCAAAAAAAAGATATCTGGGGCAATTTAGAGATATGGTTTGTCTACTAGAGTGGTTCCATTGTTACTAATATTCTCAGCACTGTCTGCAGCACATGCAGCAGAGCACACATAAAAGTAGTGGTGTGGAGTAAAGCGGTGTTTTTACAGTGAGCTGCTAGCTAGTTGGTAACATACATTACTGGAAAGTTAATAAATAATAACCCCATTATTTTCTCTTTTCAATATGACTCTAACATGTATAAAAAGAATATCATCAGATCAATTCATAGTCCCAAAAATCCAGTATTGGTTGACAAATATAACACACTATACTATAGCTATAAGGATCAATGACAATAAGTAATCCATAATTTACATTAAGAATGTGTTGTGTTGTAGCTTCAAACCGATCTTCATTGACAGATGGTGACAACAGCCGCTCCCAGGAAGACATAATGGAGAGACTTGCTGCTCTCTGTAAGAACCAGTCTGTGTCTCTGTCAGAGCCTGTAAAACAGCCAAACTACATCAGGTAAGTCGCATCCCTGCTCAGGATTTGGGACCAAAATTGCAAGACAATAACAACAATCACTTGTTTCTTGTAGACAAAACAGCACCTGGGGCAAATCACTGGAAAAGATGCCAGCAGAGCTGAACAGCCACCAGGAACGTCCTACTGTTTATATTGACTCGCGTTGCCCTGATCCCTCAATAAAACCAGCAGGAACATCCCCAAATCTTTCATCAGAGTCCCAGTCGGCGACCAGACACAACACTCACCAGGAAACACCGCCTGCAAAGAAGCACGACCTTAAAGCGCACACTGGATCACAAATGGGGGGCCGGTAAATATATCCTGCACTATACATATTTATCACACTTCAGTTGAGCTCATTTTGTTTGCTAAGGTCATGTTGTAATTTTGCTCCTTGCAGGGAAGTGACCGGTGAGAGCATGTTGCATCAAAGAAAAGGGGAGATGAATAGAAATGGGACGAAATGTCAGAATAAATGCACAAAACATCCAGAAGGAGAAGAACTGAAAGACAAGCCACCCGGACCTGTGGAATCCACATGTAGCGATGAGTCACAGAAGCAGAGGACAGATGGACAGTCTTCATTTGTACAGTCTTCAAAACCTAACATGGAAACTGTTCAGCAAAAACCAAAGCAGCAGAGGTATGAATTGTCTGTATAAATTCGGCACATTTTTAACATCACAAAGAAACATCTTAACCATGCATCTGTTAATGCTCAACACAGACAGAAGACATTTCAACAAGAGCAGGAACTTCTTAAGCTTCTGGAAAGACATCGCCCAGTCAGATCTGTGCATCAGAAGCAGCCATCTGCTGAGAGGACTGATGTTCTTTACGAGTTTGTAAGTCTCACAGAATTAAAAAAAAAATAATATCACAGCACATTTGCCTGCACTCATTATAACTTCTTTTTCAGGAAGCGTCTCAGTTAGAGTCGGTCGGCACACTACCAGCAGGTATCGAAAGCAAGAGCTGCATGCTGCTCATTATCAACCTCTGCAGTCCTGGGATGGTTGGAGACAGAGCTCGTGGAAAAAGGAAGCATCCAGCTGCAACCAAGACCCACATCTACAACACTTTAGTGGCTTGGCTTCTGTCTTTGGTTTGTGGCCTTCTTCTCCGAATATATACCACTGAGTTATTTACGTTCACTTCACTTACACGTATTTTGTAATCAGGCTGGTCCAGACAGACGCCACGGTGAAGACGAGGTCGTTGCAAATGCACCATTCTGGGTCGCAGGACTTCAGCAGCTGTGGACAGAGGACGGACTGGCTCTGCATGTTTTAGCCGTGGCTCGTCACTCTTATAAGCCAAGGGTGAGGAGAACAGAAACTAACACACACAAAAGCTAATTTTGTCATGAGCTTGCAGATCTTTTTTTTGTTTGTTTTATAGAAAAGGGACGTAGACATCCATGCACCTTTCTATCACCACGTCAACAAGTTCCTGTCTGAGACCTCCCTCGCCGTAATCGCCAGCTGGCTACCTCAACTCCTACACCTGCTGCACCAGCAACCCTACGCCTCACCCATCCACCTGCCTCCATCCTGTTTGAATAGTTTTATCTCCACCACCTCCAACAAAAATGTGGGTTTCTGTATAGAGAGTGACCTTTCATTTACTTCTCAGATGAGTTTTGTTAACTGGATTTATTTCCCCTGCTTTATATTTTAGGTTATAGATAGGACATTTGGTCTCAGTCCAGGGTTTTACTGGCAGACTGTGGAAACTCAGGATCATGTTTGTAAGGCGAGAGAGACCTCACAAGAGCTGCACACGGAGGTAGGCATGATGTCCTGTAAAGGGTTTTTTGATTTAGGAATTGCTCTTAAACAGCCACTGAATCAGAGGCATAGCAGTAACTAAGCTGATGCTGTATTTTTTCTTGATTTGTATCGTAGGTATCAGCTGCTCTGGGGTGCAGTGCTTTCTTTCAACATCCTCTCATAACTCACTACACCCTCCAGCTGGTGCTCGAGTCAGGGCTCGATGTGTGTGGTCTGCGGCTCCTCTATCCACCACAGAGCCTCCTGAGCGACGGTGTTGGTGAGACGTAACAAATGCCATCTGGTCTTAAAATTACTCCAAAGCTCTGCTTGGCTCATTGGTCTGGGGATCCATCATGGCCCGGATCTGTGGAGTCACTGAATAAAAATGGTCTTCTTTATTCCT